CTAAGAATAATGTTTTTTTTTATTAATTTTGTACTTAAAATATTCTAAAAGAAACATAACAATATTGTTTTATGTACTTTCACTTTTCACGTATAGTATAACTACTCTTTAAGATTAAGTACTGTGTATCTCAAAAACCAGAGGTAATAAAATTTTTTCATTGTTATTTTCGTTTTCATCACCCCAAAATTAGTAGAAATTGACTAATTTAGTGTAGGAAACATTCAAAAAATATTTTTTGTTGTGTTGTGAAATTAGAAGGAAATAGACGTTCTTCAAAAATCTACAACAAAACTCACTGATGAATTACTTCTGAATCATAACCATTTCATACTCAAGAAACATTTGATATTACCTTCAAGCCAACCAGATGATGAATTGTAAGCTATATCTACTTATGAGAACAAAATCTCAGAAAGAAAGAGATATTCAACTCGGTTTGGTATTTTTCATAGATATTTCAAATCTTGATTTCCATACGTTACAGAAAATTGAGAAATTGTTAATGAAGAGTTTCTGATTCAAGATTAAACTTCCTCTGTAAGGTGATGAGTGGCATTCGTTAAATTCATCATGTCATGTCAGAGACTGAAAAATCATCAAACATTGATTCATTCGGGATAAAGATGGAACGGTAGCCTGGTGGGTTTGCTACATTCTCTCAATCGACCGCTGTGCGAATTGGTAGTTCGTACCTCAAGGCTGGACGATCGATTTTCATTTCCTATTGTCCAACCCCTGTTAGCTCGCATAATTTTTGACTTCTAAGAGTTATCGTTTGTGGGGGGCGGAAAAACATATTTCAACAGAATTTCTCAAGAAATTGTCGTGTGGTACATGTCCAATATTTTATATAAGTTAAACTGCCAGAAAAGAGCATATTAACAAATTTCAGGAAGAAAAAATTATTTCAACAAATGATATTCACTTTCTTTCAGAGGGACATGAGTTCAATAATCAATTCCTGGATAAGTGTTCGAAACTCAACCTTCTGGAAAGTATGGAAATTATTAAATTCAGATAATTCCAATTTCTAATGAACGAACGCATAGATTTGAATAACCTTCTGTTGCAGAATTTGTGTCATCCGATAATAATACTCAATTAACCTGCAGCAATGCGGTGTTGCTGCTATTAGAAAGTAGTTGCAACTTTTATTTTTCAACTGGAACATTCTATACCTAAATAATAACATTTTTGGAATCTACAACAATCATCCGACAACTTTTCTTGATATTTCCCTATGCCTATCTATTACCGTTTTATAAAGAATTTTAGGACCCAGTGGCATCTACTGCCTGATGACTTCGACAATTGCGGAACTAGCCAAATTTTACACCCATGCTCAATCCCTAAAGAAATGGGAGGGAATCAAAGGATGCCATTTTGCCAGGATCACCTTGGGTGACCCTGCGAAGCTGGCGCCGAAGAAATATCTGGCGATGACCAGAAAAAATCTATTCTTAACAGTAGGATTTCTGACTGGCCACTTTCAACTAAGGAAACACCTCCATAATGTGGGGATAGTGGATACACCTCTATGCAGGATGAGTGCATGTCCTATGCGAGTGCCCGGAGTTATTTATTTATTTATTTATTTATTCATCCAAACAGGCTGATTAGCCTAATTACATGGATATAACAAAAAAAAACAAAAATTTTAGTTCAATACTAACACATATACAATAAAATTGATACTAAAAATAGCAACATAATGTTTACACAACCAAAACTGCCAATATACCAGAATGACAGGGAGACGTTATTCAGAAATACTAACCAAATAATTTGATATCAATTGGCGAAAACTGTTTTGCGATAAAGTCCAGTCCAATGATATTAAAACACCTGTTTGATTAGCCAATCGGAGCATGTATACAAGAGAAGATCTAGATCCATATAAATTTACAGGATAGTTAAATGAATAATTCAGCACTGAAGATAGATCATTAATAAACAATGAAAACAATAGAGGCCCCAAATTAGAGCCTTGTGGGACTCCGGAAGTTATAGGAAACTTTGAAGATATATTTTGATTGTGCTTAACCATGAAGAATCTATTTTGTAGGTAATTTGATAATAACTGCAATATCCCTCCTATTACTCCATACTTTCCCAATTTATACAGTGATACATCGTGATTCACCTGATCAAATGCTTTCCTGAAATCAGTATACACTATATCCAATTGAGACTTGTTTCCAAAACATTCAGAGACAAAATTACTGAACAGAAATAGATTAGATCTAATTGATTTATTAGCCATAAAACCATGCTGCTCTGGAACAATATATTTATTGGCATATTGATTTAACTTTGTATGAATAATTTGTTCAAATAATTTTGCTGGGGAACATAGTATTGAAATAGGCCTGTAGTTCTCTATATATCCTTTTTATCGTTCGATTTATGTATGGGAGTAACTATAGATGTTTTCCAAATAGATGGAAAAGTTTTGCTAGTTATTATTAGGTTGAAAATATAAAGCAATGGTGTTCTGAGCCATTCATGACAGCCTTTAAGTATATATGGCGGTATACCATCCACTCCAGCTGACTTTTTTGGTTTAATTTTTTTTGCCGCATTATCGAAATCAGATTCATCTAAACGATTTATTACAAATGTATCATTACAATAAACATCAGAATCTTCAGAGTTTACAGTATATGAGGCTTGTTGTTGGCAAAACGTGGAAGAGAAATATGTTGCAAAGTATTCTGTAGTTTTATTAGCTAATACTTCATTTCCCTGGTAGTAGAAAGAATTTAGATTCGGAGAATTATTTTGTTTATTATTAACATAATTCCAGAAGGAGTTAATATCAGTATCTATATTATCCTCCAATCTCTTGAAGTACTTTTGTTCCTCTTTTTTTATTGAATTTTTCAACTCTTTCCTAATATTTTTATACTTTTCATTGAATTGATTGGACAAAAATCTCAATTTGAAACGTCGGTTTTTTTCCTTTAGTAATAATTTGATTTCTTTTGAAAACCAGGAAGGGTATTTGCTCATTTTACTAGTATTAGTACAGTACGTTGGAACACATTTCGCAACAATTGCCCCCCATGTACTGTAAAATTTGTGTAAAGCTGTTTCTACATTATTATCATTCAAAACCTCGTACCAATCTGTATTTCTGACATTCGTACTTAAAGCAAAGAAATCTGCATTTTTGTAATTATATTTCACCTCGTTACACTTTTGTGTAGATTTCTTAATATTAAAACTTTTTGAAACATTGATATTCATATTCAAGGAAGGGTGATAGTTATCCTCTTTTACAAACGGTAATGAATCTCTTTCAACTGAACATTTACCTATAGAACTTTCCGGACCTAGTACCAAGTCTAATATTTTCCCTTGTGTATTCTGAATGTTATTCAACTGTGAAAAGTTATTAAAGTCTAAGAAATCTTGTAACATATTGTATTTTTGTAAATTACTATCATGTATATTGAATTCACCAATAACATAAACTTTTTCGTTATCATAAATTTGGTCTTGTATAAAATTAAATGCCGTTTCAACTATTTGAACTGTACTACTGGGAGATAAATAAATTACACATAAGGTATATTTCTGATTACTTACTTTGAAAGTGATTGATATTGCTTCAAAATCTCTCCGATATCTGTTAACATGCAGAACTTTATATGATTTTTTGAGCGCAATAAAAACTCCCCCACCAGTAGTCAAATTAGTGTATTGTAAATTTCTATCAGATCTTATCAGATTGTACCGCTGTACGTCAACTATTTCACCATCTTGTATGTTCTCCTGTAACCATGACTCAACAGCTATAATGATATCAAAATCCTCGACAAGACTTCTCCCAAAAAACTCATTACTCTTTGTATTTAGTCCCCTGCAA